TTTACCTGTGGTGTTAGCCCCGGCTATTACGATGAGCATGCGGTATTCAAGTTCGTTGATTGACGATGCGGATACGCGGAAGTAATCTCACAGTGTGGCGCGTCCCAACTTGGCAACGGAACAAAGCTTATTACAACACGTGACCTGACAGCGCGTTTACAGCCTTTGGAAATATATCATGATCATTCATTCATCGATCATTACACAGACTGTGAACACAGCGAGCTGGACTGTAACTGCATTCTTGTGCTTCAGCTCCTTGTTCTTCCCTGCCGTGGAGACGCTATCAATCTCTTGAAAATACAAGAAACTTCATCGTATTGTTCAGCACTGACGAGCTTGGACCCACAGTATCCAGGCATCCGCTTTGTGTTCTTCAGCTTACATACTGACGCCGATGGCACGAAAGAACAAAACGCCCCGGTGTCCCTAGCACCGTTACCGTGTGCTGCACGTATTCAATTACCGTGTCAAGGATCTGCGCTCTCTGTTCTCGCTCTTTAGCTTGTCACTCTATTTTGGCGAAGGATAAAGGTCACTGCACGCGGACTTCGCTTTGTCACTGGGTACCTGGTGTAGGGAAATTTGCATACTGTGGGCGTGCTAGCAAACCTTTACTTAAACGCCTCTCGAGCGCCCCTGTCACTACACACAACGCACCTAGACATCTCGAATCACGATCTCGGTCTCCAGAACACCCTTCACATTTCTATGGTTGGACCTGCACGATCCCCCCGTCAGCGCCACCACTTTACACCAATATCTCTGCATTCCACGCTCTCCAACCATACCAATCAGTCGAGTAATATGTTCCACTACGAGCCCATGGATCAGTTCACAGAGGCAGGGGCCGCCTGCGTACCATGCGCGGCCAGGACAGGGGAACGCTCAATTACCTTCCTGGTCTCGGCCCATCCACCGTGGGCCCGTGAATTGGGCCCCAAGTGAACCTCTGTTCCAGCCTTCTCAACGCCCGCCACCTCCTCCAGAAACCATGCCGATGTTATACGGTTACCCAGACCCCCGCTTCCTCCCACCTCACCTGCCACAAGGTCCTTCCTCGGTCCACTTCCAGTGAGCCGCGGCGGGAGTTTCAAATCCCGGTCCACCACGATCATGTGGCGCGTCCTCGCTCCTATGACAGTCTCAACGCTAATAGTTCAGACCATCACATGGGCAACTCCGAGTATCTGCCGTCACCAGACCCAGCTAGTCCGCCATACCATTTCCATCACCCTCACTATAATAGACACCATTCGTCGCCTCCGGAAGTCCCTTACAATCGAGACCATCGCTTAAACGTCCCAATTCGTTGAGTCTGAATACACACGAGGTCGTGTATTCCATCGAGCTGCTACCCGCCCCGCAGGAGCAGGCCCTGCCAACTGGAGGCAAGAATTCGCGCGCCCCGTGGAGGAACAGCCACCGATTAACCCGTTTATTCCCTTGGGTCAATCGGCAACCCAACATGGTCCGCATAGAGCTAATGTGCACGTCAACGAAGCGGCACCTATACCCACCGCTGTCCGGAACAGCGTGAGAAGCACACCCTGCCACTGAGGCAAGATCGCGCGCCCGTGGAGACAGCACCGATACCGTTATTCCTTGGTCAATCGGCACCAACATGATCGCATAGAGCTAATGTGAATGTGCACGTTACGAAGCGCACTATACCACCGCTGTCCGGAACAGCGTGAAGGAAAGGCACACCGCAGCGCCCCGCATCGAGTCGTCCAGATATCTTAAGAGGCCCCATCCAGCGGAAGCCTGCTGCTGAGGCGGACGCAGCCGGTCCCGCTCCGAAAATCACCAGGAGTTCACCAACCTCCATGAATGCCCCACGACCTGGCTATCCACCCGTCGAGATCCTCGTCGATGGCAATGTCCAAACTTGGCCTAACATACTACCAGGCGTAGATCCGGCGCGATCAACCGATGCCTCACAGGGGAGCAGCGGCAGGCTATCGTCTACAACCGTCGAAGATATCTTCACGAGCGCCACAGCTCCTATCCCGGAAGGCGAAGAGTTTCCTCGCGACCAATCGCCTCCTCCTGCTCCCACACTGCCTCCCTGGGATCTCATTGACGAGGACAATTCCCTAGGCTTGCACGATGGGGATATCATAGAGACTACTATAGTCGACGGCGTCCCCCATACGATCGTCAGGAATCCACAGCGCGTGAATACGACGAATAGTCAGTCGAGCCTGGGTACGATATCGAGCGGATTGTCGAATGCGTCGTTGCTTCAGGAGTGTCACCCGCCAAGAACTTCGGCGCGACAACGAACACTGAGGGAACTGCTTGGGGACACTGGAATTGCACACCAGCGACGAAGATCACGACCGGGAGGAGGCCGAAACGAATGAGACCGAGGACGATGAACCCGAAGCACGCCAAAGAATAGGCGAACCTAAAGGCAAGGAACGCGCACGAGATGAGCCTGCCGTAGAGACGCCCTCAGTGCCGCCGCTCTCATCACCTGAATCCCAGCATCAGGGTCAGAGTGACACCGACGACCCCTTCCGGTCCTCCAACAGGATGAAATTCCGCGTACATAAGAGAAAGTCCTCGACCTCAACCACGAGCAGTTTCTTCGTCAGGCTCATTCCACCTACGACAGTCGCCTCCTCAGCCAACTCGCTGCATCATTATACCCCGCCTCCGACAGCGCACGCATCAGGCGAAACACCCCCGAAGGCGCTACAATCGGACGTAGGGCAACCAACACCTCTCTCAATCCAGACGGAAGCGCAGACGCCACTCCAGGCTGAAACACAAACTCAGTACCTAACCCCCGATACCCTCTCTTCTAGAGCCCCGCAGTTCACCAATAACAGCGAGGCCGGTTCCTCCCGCCATGGCACTCCAGCCGAGCAATACAAGCACGAATATCTCTCTCGTAGCATTGCCCAGCGGCAAATCTCCCGCCACGAGGACTCCGTCACCGAACGAAGGAACGTTTGTCGACAGCTCATGGAGCCGTGGTGAAGGTTCTGTAAACGCGACACCCTTGGGCGAGAAACGGGGTCTTGCATCCACCGAGAAGCCTTCTATGCTTGGAACGGCCCCACTCGTGATGTCGCCCGAGCAGATCGCGGATGTCTTCGCTGAGCTACAGAATAGGGACGAGACGGGGACGAACGAGGAGACGCAGCCAGCTGCGAGACCTTTCACTGGCCCTGCGCCATCCCAGGATTCGTCGTGGTTGCGTGGAGATCCGCCTGCCAGACCTAGGGTGTACTCAGGGACGGCTGCCAGGAGACAAACAGGGGTCAGAGAGCTGTTGGGGCAGATGAGTTCGAGGCAGACCTACGCTTCAGCTTGGGTGTGCTCGCTCGTCAGTGTCGCCTAGAAGCAGCGAGTATGTGCACGGTGAGTACTAACCTTAATATCATCGTCATCGTCGCAACTGACGTGCTTTCCATTAGGCATTCGCTAACTGCGGCACGCTGTCCTCCGAGACATTGGGCTCTGTTGAATCTGCTTATCAATCATTGATAACGGCGTTGATTGCCGTGCTTAGTCCCCTGATTCGTGACGTAGACACGAATATCGACTTGAGTGATGACCGGCAGCTTTCCTGGGCTGACCGCTACGAGGAAACGGTCACCGCTATGCAGCGGTAAGTACATGCCCTTCAACTACAGCAATGCACCCTGACTGACTCCTTTGTATCTAGAGCGTTGAACAGAGCCGTGGGGCTTGTGAACGAGTTCCCGCGCGGTGACCGCGTCCGAAGACACCTCGCGAGTGTGTCCCAATCCGCGACGCGTCTCACCTACCTAGCGCGAAAGCTCGAGGTCAGTGCAACCTTCCTCTCGCCTGCTCCACCCACTGGCATCTCACACTTATTCGCGTCATCTAGGATAGCATCGAGCGCATCGCCTACCTGCGCTTATCCTCTCAGCTCAAAGCCAAAAACGAAGTCATGCGCAAGGCCAAGATGGGCGAAGATGCACGGCGCGAGGCGTACAACGCGTTGGCGGACAGAAGAACGACAGAGACGGAGGGTATTCGCCAGAAGATACGCCAAATTAAAGCAGGGACTCAGCGGCGTCCTGCGTTGTCGCATGGAAGCTCGGAGGAGAGCGAGCTGGAGAGTGCTTGAATGTTGTGTGGCAGTGACAGCAGATGATTTCACGATTTTTTTTTCCTCTACGATTCCCGAATGTTTTTCACGAGATTGAACTGACCTTACTGAACCTTACCGACACTATAGCCCAGTGTTGGCGACTGTAGCTAGACGAACGAACGAACGAACGAACGAACATAGTTACGTTATAATGTAGCTGACGAACCTGTAGTATCAATTTACATGTATTCTTATACGAGCGAACAGAAACAATCATCCCCGTATCGAAGGAAATTGTCTAAAGGTGGAAGTGAATATCAAACAAGTGGTATGGGATGGGACATTAGGAGAGTGAAGCGCAACAAAGGCGCGAAGAATTGCATGCTATAATGAAACGGATGCTGGTAACGAGAAACAAAGATCAGACTACAGTGGTGGTCCACTGCTTGAGCATGATGCAAGTGGTCCTTGCGACTGCACCCATGAAGCGAGCACATGCGGATTTTGAAGGTTTTCCAAGTGTGGTCATGAGGCAGGTGTTCGCGAATATCTGCAAATAACAGGCGGTACACTAGTGCACAATTTAGGGCTCACGGAAGCCTCCATTGCTGATGGCACCTGTGGTACTACATAGTAGTTGTCGAGACCTGACGCTGACGACGATGCACGAGGCGCAGATGTGCCAGTGCTACTTGAGAATACGAGCTCAGACAGGTTGCAGATGAAAAAGGTGCAAACGGAGCTGTTGAAGAGGTGGCCGTTGCAACGATGTGAGTGCACGGGAGACCAGATAACCAAATAAGCGGATGAAAGCTATTTCATATCGATGATGTCACCGAGACGCGTCGCTAAGATTTGCGACGTTTTCTGCGTAGATAGGGACGTAGGTAAAGAGCCGAGCCACCCAGTTACCCCGCAAAAAGGCAGGCCTTGCCAGGGTTCGAACCTGGGTTTTGAGAACATGCTGATCACTGGTAGTGACCATATCAAAATCTCAAGTGATAACCACTACACTACAAAGCCGGTAAATGCTTGGGCAGGATGATCACTGAACACGGCCAGGACATTGCCGAAAAGATGAGGAGTTTGTTCCACAGGAACTTGAACTGTTTCTTGTCTTCGACTTAAGCTTGAGCTCGGGGCACGATTCGCTCTCCCAGAGCGGGGCAATCATCCTGGCTCGCCCAACTTGGTAGTTGCATTCCATTATGGACTGGCCCTTCGCGGATGGTCGGGCCGCCTCGCTTCTCCTACCCCTCTCACGAGGGGTATCAGTTGATACGGATTTAACCACTACACGATACGGCCCCTTCAGCTTATATTGGGCAGGTAATCAACACATAGTTTTCACGTAGTACTTTCCTCTGTTCGGGTTGATAATTACGACTAGGATTGTCCTATGACCCCATTACTACGATATATCATGATGCGCGCACGCTCGCTCTCACCAGTCAAACAATTTCTCCAGTATTCCTACTAGTGTCTCTGCAGTCATGCGTATCTGAGCCACCTGCCCATCAACCAGCGAACATATATAGGACACTTTCAATTCACCTATTATAACGGACGGGTTTCGGTCCAGGACATTAAATAGGGCCCCTGGCACCGAGGCAAACAATGAGCGCCCATCCAATACCAGTTTGGAAACATTCTGATTGCAGACTTGATACATACAGAGCGTAAGGTTCAGCGTTCAGCGTTCCACGTTGAACGTTGACTGCGTGTGCACTCGAGGCTCTCCTCTCCTCTCCCGTCACCTTCACGTGCATCGTGGATACTGCCGTTACTTATCTCCGTGGTTGCAACGTCCAGTTCCGTCTTTTCGCTGTCACCATATATCATAATATCAACTTTCGAGTACACGGGACGGATCCAGAACTGGCATAGTGTCCCTCGAGGTGCGTTGGGAAAGAGCACCTTTCGATGACAAGACTAACGGACCTCCGTTTAAACAATCACAGGAGTCACATCAAGACAGCGCAGTCAGTCTGGAATTACGGCTTCCCGGATCCAGTCACTGCCGAACGCGAACCCACAGTCCTCAAGGCCAAGCAGCCAACGTGGTCCGTTCCCTGCGACATTTCGCGGTCCGTCAGTAATTGACACTGCCAACACTATTCCTGATCGAGGCATACAACGGAGAGCAGCGGGACACGAACGGACGGTCGTGGACATTCGATCACTTGAATTTCGATCGAGGCTCAAGGGTTTTCTTTCGGAACCGCTAGAGAGTGCAACAGGAACCTCTCGCGATAAGCCTCACTCGACCAACGTCTTTTAAGCACTCGACCCGCCTTGGTCGGTTCAGATTTATTTTTAGTAATGGGAGGTGTACAACGAGATGGTGTACTGGTGGATGGCACACCAAGGACGGATCCAGGCCTCCATGTCGGTGTTAACGCACATCTAGGTTTGGGGTATCTTGATGGACCTGGCACGAGGATCTGGGATGGCGAGGGGGAGGATGAGGCGTGTTGTGAAAAGGACCGAAAGGCAGTGTTTTCGGGTGAAGAGTGCGATGGCTCAGCGGGTGAGAACATCCCAGAGAGCCAAATTTTGGTCTCCTGCGAATCAGAGAACGAGAGAAAGGCAGAAGTGCAGAAAGGAAACCGGCTAAATGGAGGAGGAGTGGCGGCGTCTGACGCAGCTGATAGACTCCGTGAAGATCAACAAGGGCCGTTGCCTTGCTCTCAGCGCGTGGGTATTGTGTGTCCGCCTCAAAATTACAAACGCCCTCGCTCCTTGCTGGATTTGAAGAACGCAGCTGCAGGAACAACTGCTCGTAATTCTATCAGTGGCAGTACCAGCAGCAGCTGCAACAGCGGGAGAAGCGGTAATACCGGCAGCATTGGCAGTATTACTCCACCAGCCATCCCTCCGCGCTCACCACTCCGTCCTTCTCTACCACGCCATCGGCTCTCCAAAGACATTCCGCACGTTACAACCTTCCATACTACCATCAATACTATTCTTCCTGATATCCACGTCCACGGCGACGAGGAAGCGACACAAATGGCCCTCACTTCCATGCCCGTGTTCCGGGACAGCTTTGGAGGGTCTTTGGCTGCCCTCCTTGCCACCATAGAAGCGGAAACCCTCCAAGACAAAGAATTGCCACTCCCACCCGGCAACGACGGCGAGCTGTACAATGACGAGAATGAAGAAGAAGAGGAGGAAGAAGAGGAGGAGGATGAGGAAGAAGAAGATTATGATCCAGACGAATCCTCCGAAAGCCTTCCTTTCCACATGACCATTCATCCCAGCGCGGGCACATCTGCCACTGCGGGCACTGTAACACCAAATCTACCCACTGTCATGACAAAGAGAATGCATGCGCTGCTCGAGCTGCTCACCTCAGAGCGCGCATACGCTTCCGATCTCGCCTTGATCCGTGATATACATATCCCGCTGGCTTTAGGCAAGTGGCCTCGATTGCGAAGATTATTGATACCCTGACGCTCTTTTTTTTTTCACTGTAGGCCAACCAGCTCCTTTCAATACGAGCGGTACACCTCCCACACCACCGCTCTCGCCAAGCTCGGGGTCGGGGTCGTCATCACGCACGGTTTCGACCGCTTCAGATTCTTCTACAACATCTTCTCAGCTTGGGCCCCCAATGACCCGCGACGATGTGCGCATCATCTTTGGGAACATCAGCGATCTCGCTTTATTTTCGGACCGGTTTGTCGAGCGTCTGGAGGAAGCGCTGGGTGGTGTACTTGAAGGTGGGAGTGGCGAAGACACAGTCGGGGCGCTATTCCTCGAGATAGTGCGTAGCACGCCTTCAATCGTTCCATCTATCATACTAACTCGCACATCGCGTGTTTTTGCCCTCAGATACCGGTCCTCGAACCTCCATACAAAACGTACATCACTCGTCACCCCACTGCGCTCGCCCATCTCAACACCCTCCCACGTTCTCCAGCGCTCTCAGCCTACCTCTCACATACTCGAGCCCTCGCTTCATCCCTGACGCACGCATGGGATCTTTCTTCGCTCCTTATCAAACCCGTGCAACGTCTCCTCAAATATTCCCTCCTCCTTGGCGCAATCATTAACTCGACGCCCGACTCCCATGGAGACCGTGCGGCGCTTGTCACAGCACGGGCGAAGATGGAGGAGGTGGCTCGAAGCGTAAACGAGGACCGTCGGCGCTGGGAAGTCGTCCGCGAGGTCCTCGGTCGTGCTCCCCTCCCCGACGCCAACGGAACAGGTAAATCAAAGAAAGGCAACAGCACCAGCAATGTCGCTGTCGGCATCGCTGCTTCTGCGCATCTCGGCCGGATGCGGTCACTTCGCGGGCCCAAGCTCAAGGATTTCCCGGAGAACAGCCCTGATAACGCGGAAGCCGTCGAGGTTGCGCGGTTAGAGGGGGAGCTGCAAAAGTGTTCTGCATTCCTCGATAAGCTCGCCAAGGACGTGCGTGATTGGCGGGCTGCGACGCATGCATCCTTGGTTGCGCTTCGACAATGGGGCATCACCTTCGGTGGCGTCCTGGGGCTCAAACCCTCACCGTCTGCGCTCGACCCGGACCTCCCGCCCGAGGACCCGACCGACTCAGAATCGGAAGGGCGCTCAGAAGCCTACGACGCGTTCACGCTCCTCCTCTCCACCCTCCCCGGGTTCTCCACGACGCTCGAACAGAACCTCCAAGCCGCGTTCGTTCCCGATCCTCTGCGACCTCAAAGCGATGGTCGAGCCACCCACCAAGCTGCTCGGTGCAATGCACTCCCTCGAGCCGCTGCATGTCGCACTCCTCCACACCCCGTTATCGACCTCCAAATCGCGCCGTCCTGCCCCCACCCTCCTCACGGCCTCCCAGTCGTACCTTCGCGCTCCGCTCTGCACTGTCGTCTGAGCTGCCCGTCCTGCTGCGCGCGCTGAACCGGGCGACAGGGTTGGTGGTGCGTATATTGGCGAATGAGCAGACTGCATTCTATGAGGCTGTTGGGGAGAGGTGGGCGGAGCTTTGGGATGCGCTGAAGGTGGAGGGAGAGAGATGTGGTGGGGCTGACGAGACGCTGAGGGTGTGGTGGGAGAGGTGGGAGGGAGTGGATGTGCGGGTTTCCGGGCTGAAGATTGTGAACAAGGAGAAGTGGTGGGCGGAGAGGGAGCGGGAGTTGAGGGATCTAGTGGGGAGGGAGCTGAGGGGCGACAAGGAGCGAGAGAAAGAGAGGGAGAAGGACAGTGCGAGAGATCGCGATGGAAGGCATAAACCGGGAAGGAGGTTGACTGCGCCGCCATCAGCAGTGCATGTACATGAAGCGACACGTTCCCCGTGCTTGACCCAGTGCAACTCCCGCACCAGCAGGCCACTCCCACGTCTTCGCATTCGAAGCGACGACACCACCAGTCTCAGGCTTCTGTTGACAGCACGGCCCAGAGCCGAAGGCGCAGCGGCAGTACATCGACAACATCTGCACCCACTCAGATGCCTCGCCGACCATCAGATGAATCTCTTCGGTCTGGTAAATCTGCCAAGTCGGTCGGTAAGTCGAAGCAGGAACAGCAGAGCAGAAGATGAGCCGACCCGTACCCCGTCTTAAGCCAAAGTTCTCGCCACACAACAGTAACGGGCCACAACGTCACGAAAAGCAACCCCACAATCTCGCCTCTACGAACCACCCAATCGGTCTCGTCACAGGTTTTCGTGGATCTGGAGACCGCTTACCCACCCTCGCCGTCCTACGACACGTTTGAAGGCGATGAACAGGACAGAGATGGTAGAGGAAGGCCCCAGCGACGTTCGAGTCTCAAGAGTAAGCTCACAGACACGTTCAGGCCTTCGCATCACCGTCGACGGTCGTCCTCTGTCAAGTCACTAGGTGCACCATCATCGCTCGCGCCGACTAACCACTCGCCGGACGTGCCACTCCCGCCATACTCTCCCTCTTCCCCCACTTCCCCCAGACACATACGTCGCACCCTTCCGCACCGTCGCCGTCTCACCGATCACGCCCATCGCCTGCCCTCGCTGCTACCCGTGCGCTGTATGCCACCCGCGCAATCCACCCATGTCTCCC